CCACTAAAGTCTGTACACTTCATTTGCATCATTAAATTTCAGCATTATACCACACTTCTACCCAAATCTAAACGCTTGTAAATCATTTGATAAATCAACAAACCATTTGTTTTACCAATTGTAATTTGTTTGTTAACTAGAGCTCTTAAGTTCAACAACCCTCGATGAAATTTCAATAAAATAGTCTTTTATTTCCATCTGGTAAATAATTTCATTTAAAATACAATTATAAATAACAGCTCATTAGCAAAAAGTAATGTAAAATAGTAATAATAATTAAAGTTCTATCAGAGTTAATGTTAGTTCTTTGTAAATGAATAAAAATTTTTAAAAGTCATTTAACAAATAATTGTTCCAAAATGTAAATGAAAATTTTAAATAATTATAAACCCATTGATTATTTCTTGTTCTAATAAATATTTATTGAACTCTAGACTTTACAACTGTTAACTATGAATAAATGTAGTAATATATAAAATTTTAATGAATGTAAAGTAGCTTAAAAAAAATTCTGTCAATGAATAATTTATTGATAAATCTCAATGTAATTGATTCCAGTTTTTACGGTTTCGTGTATGATTACATTGAAGTATAAAATTAATTATAATTATAGCTGAATCCTTGTCATTTTTTTTTTCAAGTATTGTGAAGAATAAAAAGGATTTTTCAAGAAGATAAAAGAAGAATAATTGAATGAAAAAAATGGTAATTGGTATTCACAAGAAATCGTTGAAGAGGCGAGCAGCGTCTCGAGTTTCCGACTAATTGCGTGACCTTAAGCGAACCATTTTGTCGTATTGCCACGACAACGAGGCCGACCGTTGCGTGGAGTTGCTTCCGCTGCAGTGAGTTGACACGCAGTCTGAATGCTCGTGCGACACGTGATCCGGGTATTAGGCGTAACAAACGTCAAGTGTCGTGCCAATTTGAATAACGAAAAATTATACTTAAATTGAGTTGTCAACTTTGTGCTATTAATGTAACTATTATATTTTATACATAGACATTAAGTATCATCTACTCGTGTAATTAATGTCGAAATTAACTGGATTGTCGTGAAATATCCATTGTAAATTCATTATTCAATTCAAAACTCTATCCGAAGTAACAAACAATAGACTATTCAATATAATATTGATGTAATTGTTTCAATAATGAAAAAAAAAAAATTATATTTTCAAACAATAAATGTCTACATACTTTAAAAACAGAGTAGAAAAATATTTAAAAATTGTTTTCAAGTTAAAAATTGAAATGTTTTTAGAAATAAAATATTCAAGTGTCAAAATAATAGTCAGAAGTTTTTTAAAAATGAATTATGTTGAATGTTATACGTTAGCAAAACCGTCGAATAAATGTAAATGGGGCTTTAAAGCTTTCATTAACGACCCAATTGCTGGTTGCGGACGAAGAAGATTGTACGAGTAATTACCAAGAACGCCAAGTGCGATGCTGACATCAGATCCTTCGGAATTACGATTTAAGCCGCGAAGAGGATTCCATGGGTCTTGGCGGAGGGATTGTGGGATAGGTAACCGCAAAGAATAGAGTATTTGATAGTCACTGTATACCAGCAGCATCTTCTTGTGTTCACCATTTTCTTTCTTTCTCATTCACAGACTATGTATAGAGTACTGTCTCTTTCTCATTTATTCCAACACTCAAACGTTGAAGATCTCCAAAGAGAGAAAGAGACAAGGACATGTATAAGTAAGTAAGAATAAGAAGAAAAAAAAAAAGGGGAAATGAGACCAGCTGGTGACAATGGCACTGGCCTGAATAATATTCTCGCAAAACTATAGAGCACCTGGACGAGGGAGAGACCCCTGACAATCTTGGTGTGATGATGAAAGCTAGATCAAATCGAATCGTGTAGTGTATTTGATCGTTCCAACAATTACTTGGACTATGAAAACATCAACGCCTTTGTTATCTCTTTTGAAATATCAGATTAACTCGGATCATCTTAATTTCCTTTTTTTTTTTTTATCATTAACTTTATAAGTACATGAACAAGAGTGCAATGCCTGGAGGAAATGAAAATAAATAATAATGATTTACAATAAAGTGATTGAATGAAATGATTATATTAGAGGAAAAGATTTATATCTTTTTTCTTAATAGAGAATAATTGATTTTAATTGATTAATAAATCTGATTAAACGAGAGAAAACTATTCTAAAACATCAAGATATATTTTACAATAATCTATAATGTCAAATTATCGCAAAAAACTTTATCCAAATAAACAATTTATTTTTCTCAACGACATTAACTCTACCATATTTAGTCACACCATTTCTCAACTGTTATAAAATCCTACTTGATTCCAGCGACTCTCAAGAAAAAGTTTGAGCAAGATTAGTGCAGAAGAAGTAACTCTGGTTGCCAAGATCAAGCAAATGAATCAATTGAATGAAAGTTTGTATTAGTAATTAGAATGATAGGCTAAATTTAATGATATTTATGTCTGTAAATTAGTAATTAGAGGACAATTATCACAAATGGGATATTTCCGGTTAATCAAGATGGTCAACGGAGCGTAGAATGCCGCTAAACGATTACGATGTAGCACGCCCGAGTGCGCCCTTCATTGAAAAATCCAGTTGGAAACTATTCACCATTCTATTGCTTCCATATCGGTAGGGAGAAGATTTATGTGCAGTTTGCGGGCACGAGGCCGAAGAGAGGGTGGAAGAGTAAGCGGGGTCTCTTCGAGGCCTCACGGCAGCATGAACACGCGTTTGCACGCACACCATATCAACAGACCGTGTAGTGAGTTGCGACTCACACGCACCTTTCCGGGCCAACGACTTCTCAAACAAGCAACCCATCTACACGAAAATAATTATTCATCAACTCTACTTTAAATTTTGTCCTTAACGACATAATTGTCATTTTATGGCAATACTCATCTTCATCCTCAAACCAACTACTTTCCAACTTATTAACTTGACTTTTTTTGATTGAAATAAAGTTGTAAATTATTTCTTAATTATCTTTCCCATCTTTCATGTTATATGCTCATGTGAGGAAGAAATTCTCGTCAATTTTAATCTCACCAGTGCATTGATTTTTATCTTGTTTCCTTTCAATGTGTACATGTATATGTAGTATACCTTCAGGCTCTATTAAACGTTGATTTTAACACCATCAACCAACATCAGACACTCATTAATTTTTATCAGCCTATCCATTACCTTTGAACTTTAAATCCAATTATTTGGCTTTTATTGATGATTTCAAAATTGGAATTCATTTCGTTCAAATGTTTTATTTTTTGTTTCTGTTTCAACTCTAATGTTCCAACATGAAAACAAAAATTTTTACTGATAATATTATTGTAAAGGATAAAGTTTGTTTGATTCTTCTAGAGTTAGAACTAAAATGTTTTACTTACTCAATAAATAAAAAAAAATTGTTTTTGTAGCACAAATCAACCTTGATGATTATCAATAAATTATTTCAATCAAGTCTTTCTTTTAATTACTAAAAAAGCAGTTAAATTATTCAGAAATAATTTTCTTTACCATTATTTAAAAATAGAAAGGAAAAAAAATAATCAATAATAATAATTTATTGATATTTTGTAACCTCATAATCTTTATTGATTTGAAATAATTAAATAATTATGACACTTGAGTGTGTTTAAATGTTGAAATAAATAGCTGTTCCCATTAAATAATTATCTTTTAAAATGTTTGATAAAGCTTTGAAATAATTAATAAGTAATTATGGACTATTTGATTAAACGAAAATTTTTAAAAATTATTATTTATAAATGAATACATGCTATATGTCAATTCATTATTGACAGTAAAGCATCAAAATTTTTCCACTCAACTGTGCAAAATAAATGGAAAGAGTATTTCATATAAAACTTTCTCATGTCGAGTATATAAAAGTCATCGAGAGCGACGTAACGAGAAAAGCTTTCGAGTTCAAAATGCATTTGTGAAAAAGAAGCTCAACTATTCTGACTACGTGAGAGCGTTTCCCCAGGAGAGTTAGTATAGTATTAGAGCAAGGCAGCTGCAACATTGCCACTCCTCAAAAAAACATATATCCAGTCAGTTGGCATATGGTAAGCAGTTATACAATGTGTTATTCTCAATCTGAACTACTGTACGTGAATGTGCATCAAGAATTACTCAATAAATTTCTTAAGCTTATTCTCAACGTCATATCAGGGTCACTGATGCACTTGCAATTGATCTTATCATGCAATGACAACCGGTAATTGATGATAAATTAAAATGAAAAATCGTGAAATTAAAAATATCCTACAAGATATAGAAACCATTATTTTCATTGCCTTCCAGGAATTTTTTTTTTTAACTATCAATTAATAATATATTATTAAATAAAAATAAATAAGACTGTTCTAGTTAATATTTACTTTGAATAATAATAAAATGTTGTAGCAGAATTATTAAAATTTTTTATAATAGTAGAGTTATAAAAAAAATTCCAACACTTTGTCGTTATATAAAATCAAACGATTTACTCTCAAAATATCATCACCAGAAGTTTTAATCATATATAACAAGTATGACACAAAACTTGATATACTGCGTTGATATCTTAAGCATACTCTGAGCAATTTTCGTCACACTCAGTAATCAATCGATACATCTTGAACTAACTTGAGAGATAAAAATAAAAACCAAAGTAAAATCCCTTGTTCCAAACCCTAAAAGAAAATATAAAAAATATTTATCATCTCAAGGTTTAATCTTGAAGAAACAATTGATAATTGATGATAAATAGAAAAAAGAATGGAGCGAAAAATGGTATTTTTTCTTTGCTTTATTTAAAAAAAGAAGTTGAAGAAGGATGGAAATAAAAGTGTCTTGTGAATTTAGTATGTTGAAAGATAATCGCTAACGCTTGAGGCAAAACTGGAACGTGGTGGTCGTGGCAAAGAAACGATATAACCGGTTCAAGTGTGCGTAAAGCACGCACACAGGATAAATAGCTGTAATCTTGCTCTCTCATACCTAAAAGTGATGCCGACAGAAACCGGCAAGTAATCTCCAATGACGCCGGGTATATCCTCGTGGCCTCGCGTTACATATCCTTTGTCCAAGTGGTGCTTATAATCCTTTGGTCTATACCATTATTAAATCGCCAGCTTCGGCAATTGTATAACACATTGCGTGGTGGTAGCCTTCGTGCACATGCACCACTATCAGATCATTTCAGATAGAAAGTACATAGTTATTATGCACAACAAAATATCAACTAACAGTGTCGATAATAAATTTAAAAAAAAAGAAAAACGCTCACTAAATCAAAAATCACTTCACCAAAATAAAGATGAAAGAAAAAAAAATTATTCTGAATAAATCTTTTAGATTAATTTATACCAGACTTTGTTGAATATTAATTAAAATCACAGCACTTTTATAATAACGAACGATAATGATGAAAAAGAAATAGATGACTGAATTAAGTTTAATATTGATTCAAAAGTGATTTAAATAGTGATGAAGAGCAAAGAAATGAATATTAAAAACCGTGACACTGTTTTCACATTAATGTATGCTGTGTAATCACCATCGAATGTCGGAGCAGAGTCCTTTTACGAGAGGAAGAAACGCTTGAGGCGCTTCCAAGCACGGAACATGTACACGTATACACATATAAACTTATATACATATATAAGACATGGATAAAACTACTCACACAAGGAAACAAGTCACGAGAAAACACTCGCACACATGGAGTAAAAGGTAGTCGACAGCACGAGCTGGCGTCTGGACACGATGCAAACGGATAGTCGATTCTCAGAGAGGTTTCAGAATCTTTCTTTACTTATTTCTTAACGTCAAAAAGTTAAATGCCCATGTAAATAATTCGTTTTTTTTTCTCTCTCTCTCTCCTTCAAATTGATCTAACGTTTAATATGTACACGGTATATATTGATGTGTTACACTTAAATGACACTTTGTTTTTATGGCTCATTGGCAATACACAGTTGATCACTGATCAATTAAAACCGTTCTAATGCAATCCTCGTAAAAGCTCACTCGCCGCCAGGCCAACTGCTTGGCGTTTACTGAAGCATCGTACTCTCTCTTGGCTTCCCCACCGGTCTCACTGCTTCGTTGCCTGATACTACATGGGAGCCATCATTGGCGTAGCTCCACAGGGACATACCAAAAAATGAACAAGTCACTATAACTAAATTTTACGATTCGGAAATATATATATCTTATATTTATTACTCTATAAAGTTTGTAAAATATTTTTATCGCTTTTATAAAATATACTAAACGGAAACTTTTTTAATAGTTTAAATATTAAGTCGTTACACAACAAAATATTCATCCTAAATCATATTTTTCTCGAGGGAATACAACGATAATGTCAGAATTATCTGATTGACTTGAAATACTCAAACATGTATTTATAGTAAACTACATTTACCACTATTTCAAATAATTCTATTTATTTATCTTCAATTATTTCAACAAATGTTGAAGAATAATCATAAAAATCAAGTGAAAAAATAAATAGTAATATGTATAGTTGATAAAAGATAAAAATAATGTGTTTCAATGAGTGTGGAGTAATAGAATATTCATGAAATGTATGTATTCAATAATAATTATTCTGAGAAATAGCAGAAGTAGAAAGGAGTTGGGTGAACAAAATATTTAGCAAAGATGAAGGAGTGAAATAATAATGAATCAATTATTTAAAATAGATCGTAATGAATTAGAGGAGTTTATTATTAGGTCTGATAAACACTGAATTATTAGAGAAATAGGAACAGACGAGTCGACACCAATGTTTTATGGAAGACAAGCTCTATCTCATTCTATCTAACAGAGTAGGACACGACCGTCCAATTCTACCTGCCTTGTTCGTCGGTAGACTCAACACCGACAGAAACTTTAGCATCCTTATCTACTCTATTGGCTCTATTGTATTTTGTCTTTCTTCCTTGGTATCTCTCTGTTTCTCTTCTACCTTTTCCCGCCGTTTGTCTTTCTTTCTGTCTCACTCTCTTATTCCCAAGCACTTCCACCGTATTAGCCTGACTCTACTTTCTTCTATCCCACTTGCACGCAAAACGACTGAGCATTTGCGGTGTCGCTTCCTCTTTTCATTCCACGGACCCTCCTACGTGAATTCTCTTCACCCTGAGTAAAACTACACTCTCTGGGACCTGACAGAGTAGAGAACAGAGAAATGCAACCCCTCACTCACTCTCTCATTCTCTCTTTCTCTCTCTACTTCACTAAAAGAACTCAATGCCAAGGAATGACACTGGGAAAAAATTTGATCTTAAAAGTATTTTAACTAAAAAATATTTTAAAAAGTTACTAAAGAATTGGAAGATTTTTAATTGTTTAAGTTTATCAATGACACTTTTTGTCTATTATTTGCCTTTCGTCATTTTATTTTCATTCAATTGATTCCTTTATGAAAATACAGACATGAATCTTTTCTGAAGACTATAAATAAAGTTATTGAGATATTTTTATAAGAAAATTTAATAAAATAAATTCTACCTCCTCTTCTATTTTCCTTCTTGTCAAGTAATTTTTTATTAAACTATATTCATCATGTCGGTTATCAAGAATTCACTAAATAAAATAAAATTTAATTTACTCGAATTTAATTTCAAGCTAAAGAAAATCTGAATTGAAAGAAAATATTCGCTTTGTGAATAATAAATTGCTTTGAGTATTTTTTTTTCATCTGAAAATAAAATACAAATGAAATCATTGACGTTGAATAAAATCGTGAAAAGACACTCCTTCATTCATAATTTGCATTGTAAACACGTCATTAAAAGAAATACAAAAATATTATGATATTATTGGAAAATGTTATAAAAAAATATTTTTCAATCTAAATATAATACTTAACTTTAGTTATTTAGTCTCTTATTTTTCTCACACGCCATTTAGAAATCACTATTAATAATAAATGGCATTTTTGTTTTGAAAAACAATAAATATAAGTCATGAAAACTTTTAAACATAGCAATTACGACATCTACGTTTATTATAAACTTCCGTCTTAATTGTCGAAGCCATTGAAAGGAGCGAGGTCGTGGGTTTTTGCTTGGGGATTTGTGTTCTCTTTCTCGCTTGTTCCTTGTGGTCGTTTTTCTCTCGCACAATAGTGAACAGGCGGCTGCCTCACTTCAGCGCCTTCTTCGGCAGTCCCCCCTTCGGCTTCTGACATTTACGGCATTATAGTCACTGCCACCCTGAGCTCCAGGCTCATACACTCACACACATATACACCAATACATTCTTATGGCAGCTCATAGGTATTATTTCCCTTACTCACTTTGCCTGAGATAATCACTCGACTCTCGTCACTCTCTTTCTAAGCCAAGTATTTAGGGACTTATTATATTTCCTTACTTTAATGTAATGTGACTGAGTGAGAAAGTTGGTCTATAAAAGTCGCTTGTTGCCCAGCCCTGCTTTATAATGTTGTTGTTCTATTCTCTCCCTTATTTTATGCACTTAGTCATGAATTTAGTTGCAGACTTGATAACAAGAATATTCATTTGATTCCTTGGAAAGTTATTTATTAAGTGCAGTTGAGAAATTATATTATAATTCCGAACTAGGGGTATTTAGGATTGAATAAGTCATTTACTTGATTGAGAAGTTGTTCAATATTTGAAAGGATTTTCTAGTCATTTTATTACTTAATCTCAAATAATAGTTTTACTCCAAAAGTGGAGATGTTTAACTTTCAAAATTCATGAATAAAAATTACATTATTATTAAACTTGTTCTTTCATTAACATGTACTTTACTTGAAGATAATTAAATATTTAATGCATCTACATAACTAAAAAAAATCCTTTCATGCACATTGAACACATTGAATAATTACTCCAAAATTATTTACCATGAATTTTATGCTTAATTATTGAATCACCAAAAGTGTACGAGTTTCGTGAAGCTTAAAACAGAGTAAAATATTTAATCAATAAAATTATTGATGAATAAATAAAGTAAATAAATAAAAAAATAGTAATAAAGCTGTTGCTTTTTTTTTAAATTATTTTTATCTCGAATAAAAATGTCTAATAAATAAATATAAAAAATAAACATACTAAAATAAATTTACTTCAATAGCAAAAAAAATAGCTATAATAATTATATCATAAAATACTGATTATTAGTTAATTAAAATGAACGCATTTACGTTGATAATATTTATAATTGACATGAATCATGTTGGGAAATGTACATTGTATGACTAGTTAAATCCTCCAACTGCATATAAGCATACTTAAATGAATGATTTACTTACTTAAAAAATTCCCAGCAAATAAATCACACTGTTCTAAATTCGAATATTGTGGTAAAGGAAATAAAATATATTTAACAACAATTACAATAAAGCTACGATATTTAATAGGTATTTTGTAAAGTCTGTCAAATAAATATACTTGTTAACTATAAATAAATTTACTGATTTAAGACATGGGTATATGAATGTGTGTGTATATATATACTTGTAGTAATTAGTCATGTAGTCATTTGTTTTATAATAGTCTCTTTATAATGATAGTTTCACACCTGTCTTCATAAATTTTCAACACAACAGTTTAACTTATTATTCATTGAAATCTTGCGGGAGTGCTTCCTGTACTATAATCGTAATATATTTATACTCGACTTGATAGATAAAATTTTTATTATTGAATAACTTCCACAAGATTTGACTGCACATATAACACGAAGGTTTCTGTACATAATTGAAAAATAATGTTCATGATAAACAAACTGAGGAATTTCAAACGCTAGATAGAGAAATAATTGCAACATCGACCTTTAATCTTGAATAATTGCGACGCAACTTTCTTGAATATTGCAAACAATGCAAAGACTTCTCGTCAACATTATTTAGTCATTATCTTTATTCACTTCTATTAACCTCCTTTTTTCTAACATTATCTATTTCTAAATTCAATATTTAAAATGTTTGAATTTTACACTATTCTACCTCATTAATACTTATCTCTTATTGCTAAAGTATTGATGATAAAACGTTCACTATCATCATACTTATAACCATTTTCAATTATCAATGTTTGAGAATATATTTTTAAGTACAATTCCGTCAAATGTGCATAGTTGAGCAATCACGTAAACTTTGCTTGAGAAACAAATATAACACTTTATTATATTTTTTTATTAGAATTTAAATTTTTTTTCAGATGTTTTTGTCACTTATTAAATTTAATAAAAAAATATTTACTTGTATTATATAAGTAGAAGTATTTTATTTATATTGTGCTCCAAAAAATATTATTAGTATTGTTATTATCACATAATAAAGTGAATAAAAATAAAAAAAATGGAAAACTCTTTACAATAAAATAGTTTTTATATCATAGTTATCGTATATGTATTATTATCCTTCGAATGTATCTAATTTTAACAATGTAACGATTTATATTTTCTTGATAAAAGTTGTTCGCCGCAATAGAGCGGAAAATTTTTGTCACGGGAGTCGAGCCAAATGGCGATTCAAGTGGAACAAAGAAAGTCAAGATGTTACGTGACGCCAGAAAAATGCGCAGAGTCAGAATATTATAAAGTATCTGACATAAAAATATTTTTTATTCTTAACAATAAAAGAAAAGAAAAAAGAATTATCAATTGTTAGAATAAACTAGACACGTTATAAATTATAGATAAATAAAATAAAATTTAAAACGTAAATAAATAAAACAAATATGTACGTAATGATAATAATAAAAAAAAAACGTTGAAGTGAGAGGGGAAATCCAATTGACCCAAGTGTAATTTTCACTAAAGATTATCTTGTATACATACATGTACAATAATTATTCTCATCCGCATCAGAATTGAGATAATCGACTACTGACGAAGAAAATCAATTGTTAGATATCCATTTATGCAGAGATATTATGATTAAAGTAGGAGTAAAAAATAGTTTAATGACACGTGCTTATTTAAAAAAAATATCTTTTGGTCACGTTGAAGATCATACAGAGGTTCGTGTGTGTTATATTAAATTACTAAACGACTTAGACACACTCGGATATCAAG